GGCAAAAGACAAGGCCACAGAAGATGAGTTTGTGATGGTGGACGGGCTTCTCTTTCTTGATAAGGCCGGATTTAAAAGGTTAGTTGTTCCATCCAGTGAACGTTTGCGTAGTTTATTCTTAGGAGAATGTCATGACGCAACCGGTCACTTTGGCTACAAAAAGATGAGTGCCAATTTAGTACAGCGATTTTGGTGTTCTGGAATGCTAGAGGATGCAAAGAAGTATGTTGAGACCTGTCAGGTTTGTCAGCGGGACAAGCCGCGAACTCAAGCACCGCTTGGGTTGCTGAAGCCTTTACCTATTCCCGCTGGTCCGGGACAGAGTGTTTYCATGGACTTCATGGACACCCTGGTGACCAGTAGGAGTGGCAAGAGGCACATCTTTGTCATTATAGATCGATTCACCAAGTGCGCTAGACTAATTGCCATGCCAGAGACCGCAAGGACTGAACACGTCATTAAGTTGTTTATGGACAACTGGGTGCGTGATTTTGGACTACCAAAGTCAATCATTAATGACAGAGATGTCCGCTTTACAAGTGAGTTGTGGAAGAAGACTGCTGAACAGATGGGCAGTCAACTTCAGATGACTTCAGGGAATCATCCCGAAGCCAACGGACAGGCCAAGCAAATGAACAGAGTTGTACAACACCTGCTGAGGCATTACATCAAGCCCAGTCAGGATGATTGGGATGAGAAGTTGCCTCTCATCGCCAGCCTGTACAACAACGCTGTACATAGCAGTACCSGCGTTAGTCCTAATCAGCCGCACTTGGGATGGAAGCCTAGATCAGCACTGGACTTCCTCCTGCCGGAAAACCGATCCTCTGCGACTCCAGGCACACTTGAGTACGGTGTGCAGTATGAGAAGTTGCTACAACAAGCTGTCGAGCATATCAAGAAATCTCAGCAAGCAATGATTGCTTCTGAGAACAAACATCGTCGGCAGTCCTCATTTCAGGTAGGGGARCGTGTYTGGGTCAAGGCTAGTGAACTAGGACAGAAATTCGGAATCTCTCGCAAACTAATGCCTCAGTATTTTGGTCCATGGGAGTCCTGGATATAGTTGGGAATGAGATGGATGGTCCTACGTATGTTATCCGTATCCCTGGTCACTTACGCACTCACCCTGTCTTTCATGCCTCAAAGCTTGCACCTTGCACCTTTCGCTGAGACAGATCAATTCCCTTCAAGGAGATCGATGCTGCCCCCAACCATGGATAGTCAAGTGGACATCGACGACATTGTGGATCATAGAGACCTGCCTGTTCCAAAGCCACTAGGTAGAGGAAGACCTCCTAAACCCAAGAGAGAATATCGCGTCAGATTCAGGCATCATACGGATCTAAAAGAAGACCGGTGGTTTACCAGAGAGGAACTGATTGACACAGCTCCTTAAGTGGTGGCAAAATATGAGAGGATGTTAAAAGGGAAGGCACCTGCGAAGTAAGCATCTCAACGGACTTTCGAAGCTAAGGGGGATGGAATGTGAGGATTGAGCCCTCAAAAAGGGGCCTTGCCGTGATGTACATGTTCTGGGCTAAGGCCCCCAGCAAGCCTCGTGCCCGCCCTAAGTGAAGGTGGGCCAGCAAATCAACAAGAGCCCTTTGTTCAAACATTTCACGAAGTGGGGTCCATACAGTTGCCACACGCCAGTTGGTTGGAGTGCACCGAGTATCGGAACTCTGCAAACGCAGAAATCCCAGGGCCCCAGAATTGTTTAGGCCCTGGGCACATAAACGTGAGGCCGACAATGCATGCTGGAGATAGAGGCCRAAAATGCCAATGGGAAACCGGTCCACTATCTGAATCTGGCCGCAGGCCTTGATGAAAGGGGCGCAACTGCATCTCCTGGGCCCCAACCGCATTGGGCCTRGGTACAGGTACTGGGGCCCAGGCGCAGGCTCAAGGGAGGCCGCCCACACGCAACACTGGCATATAGGCAGGAAGGACGAGTGGGCAGGGATCTTGGCCATTGCGAGCAAGGTCGGCACGCTGCTGCATTGCGAGTGTGCTGCGCTGCGCCAGGCTGAGAGAGGGCAGGCTAGCGCTAAGCGGTAGAGTGCAGCCTGGGCGCAGGGCGCTGGCGGCCATAGCCGGGCTGCCTGTGGGCGCAGAGGAGGTGAAGGGCGAAGGTGGTTCTTCGGAGGTGAAGGGCGCTGTGTGGGATAACAAGGGAGAGTGAGGGGGAAGAGAGAGACGTACCTGGTGGAGAGGAGGTCGGCATTGGTGTTGACATCATCACTCGCTGGTCGTCAAGTTGTCTGGTTGCTTTCATACTGTAGTTGTAGTGATAGGCTGTAGAGTAGGTAGGGCGCCTGCCGCCATTCAAGAGAGAGAGCTACCTTGGGTTATGCTGTTGGTGTTGCCCGATTGGGCTTGGACATTGACTCACGATTCTTCTGTATCGTTCTCAAATGGATGGTTACTCTGTTCCATTGTGCTATCTGCTCTTGCTTTGACTACTTGGACTTCAGTGTGATTTTGCAATCTGGATTT